AACCAGTTAAAAAAAAAGAAGAAGAAAGAAAGAAAGAGAAAAATAACGAAAGAAGAAAAAGACAAAGAAGAAGAAGAAGAAGAAGAAGAAGAAGAAGAAGAAGAAGAAGAAGAAGAAGAAGAAGAAGAAGAAGAAGAAGAAGAAGAAGAAGAAGAAGAAGAAGAAGAAGAAGAAGAAACAGAAAAAGAAGAAGAAGAAAAAGAAGAAGAAGAAGACGAAGAAAAAAAAAGAAGAAGAAGAAAAAGAAAAGATACGGGTACCATCGAAATTGGAACTCTTCGTGGCTGTTAAAGATGAGGACGGTGTGCGTTTTTAAATATTCTGAGAGTCTGCACGCACGGACGCACGCACGCACGCACACACGCACGCACGCACGCAAGCGCGCGCACGCACCCCCACCCCCCACACACACACCACACACACACACACACGCACACACGCACGCACGCACACACGAACGCACGCACGCGCGCACGCACACACGCAGACACACAGACAGACAGACAGACAGACAGACAGACAGACAGACAGACAGACAGACAGACAGACAGACAGACATAAATTCATACATATATATATACATACATACATACATACATAAATTCATATATATATATATATATATATATATATATATATATATATATATATATATATATATATATATATATATATATATATATATATATATATACTTGGGGTGTGGAGGGTGGTATCAAACGGTCCTTCCACAGTGGTGGCCTAAGATCATCGGAAAACACACATTCCCTGAAGTTATGAACTAGAACCAAAATTAATTTTACGACTGAGAGGTACCACTGAGGGTCACCACAACATGACAAACTGTATTAAAGGGTTATTTTATTAGAATGTTTGTGAACCACCGATGTATCTGAACATCCTTGTAATGAAAGAAACCCCTATTAGAAATGATGGACAGAGATAATTCCCAGTGCCACGCAGCATGGACTGTAAGAATAAATGTCTTTTACGACAGGCAATCAATGGTGATACCACTTTACTGGAATGTCGGGTTTGTGCGCGGGGCTGGGTGACAGAGGTGCCCGAAAATGGGAGCTTAGAAACATGAGTCACCCTTCCCCCCCCCTCTTCTCTCTCTCTCTCTCTCTCCCTCCCCCGCAAGCAAAAAAAAAAAGGATGGGAGTGCGTGTGGCGTCTCCCTCTCAGACTCTTGAAAAGGCCAAGTTGCACCCACCGTCAACTATTCGTCAAAGTTATCTTTCTCTAGTTATTGTTTATATATATATATATATATATATATATATATATATATATATATATATATATATATATATATATATATATATATAATATTTGCAATACAACAAATTAATATTAATTTTTATCATCATCATCATTAGGATCGTTTGACACCAATCCCCATCATTAGGACCCTCCAACCCGCCCTCCAATCCGTGAAGTATTTAGGAGGGGATAATCCCTGGTGATTAGGATTTTGCTAAGGCTAGGCTGAAAATTGTCATTTTATTAGCAAGACATGTGTATTATGTTTAACAAGCTAGCATATTCAAACACATGTTATGTTTTTGTAAACAGTTAATAGAGACATATAGTTTATAATTTACTAACATCGAATCATGTTTTAGTTGTTGTAAACAATTAGAGACATAGTTTTCAATTGCCTTATTTACTAACATCGAACCGTGTTTTTTTTTTTCCATGTAAACTATTATAGACATACAGTTTTTAATGTCTAATTTACTAACATCGAATAATGTTTTGTTGTTGCACATAGTTAGAGACATACAGTTTCTAATTGGCTTATTTAATAACATCGAATCATGTTTTGTTGTTGCACACAATTAGAGAGATACAGTTTCTAATTTACATATTTACTAATGCCGAACTGGAATTCCCCAACAACAGATGCCAAATAGTTGGTTCACATACGTTTTGTTGGCAATAATCTACACATTCATTTTCAAAACATAGCACACAAAGTCTATAGTTAATAAAGACTGTATAAATTCAAAGGAAAGACTGAGTCTGCAAGCATTGTGACAGTAGTAAATTAATCAGGATTCCCTGTGTGGGTTGCGGAGTCCCGTTGTGGGGAAAACAACTGACCATCTGCCTCTCCAACAAACATTTCGAAGGAGTCTACTAACTGGAGACATCCTTCCAAAGTCGGAGTTTATCTGCCTGACAAGCAAGGAACCAGGAGTATGCAGATAAAGCAGATCTGTAAAACGAATGTGCACACAACACTCAGGATCCTGAACATGTCTAACGTCAGGAGGAGGACGGACAAGCAGAGTTATAATTTAGAGCCGGTGAACGCGAAGCGAATTGATTGCCCACATTAGAAAGAAACAATCTACATTCTTTGGTCATGTGATGAGAAGGAGAAAACTGGAGTACTTGTGACAGTAAGAAAGTTCTTGGGGAGAAGTGGCAGACGCAGATAAAAGATGCTGGACAGTTTAGCATCATGGCATGGAGGATCATCAGTGTCAGAGTTGATTGCAAGTATACGAGAAAGAATGTGTGGATAGACATGAATACCAACACCACACAACATGGGCATTGACAGAAGACCGTGGTGAAGAAGAATTAATTGTATGGATACACACACTCATCACTTTGTTGCCGACCTCGAGGTCAAAATATGAGACTAATAAGTAAGGGCATGTTGGTGTGGCTGCTGCATCTGATGACTGATCACACATGGAGAGTGCCCAGTATGAAGTGACTTCAGTTGTGACAACATAATAGGACACACATGAACATGGAATAAGAATTTATAAATAATAAAAATTAAATTAATGTGATAATGAATCCACCTTAGTAGCGCTTCAGTACCAACATAATAGGACACACACGGACGTGTTATCAGCATTATTAAATAAATTAAAATTCAAATAATGTGATCATACATTTCCTTTCGTAGCACTCAAGTTCCAACATAATAGGACACACACAGACGTGTAATCAGCATTATTAAATAATTTAAAACTCATTTAATGTGATGATAAATTCACTTTCGCAGTTCTTTAGTACCAATATAATAGGACACACACGAGAGTGTAATCAGCATTATTAAATAATTTAAAGTTTATTTAATGTGATAATGAATTCACTTTCATAGCGATTGAGTTACAACATCCAATAGTGAAGGACTGTGTGGATAGATTGTTTGCAGCTCTCCACATGTGAATCTTTGTTAGTGTAAAAAAACGGATGCATATTTACACCATAAAATAATGTTTATACTTTTTTCACAGGGTAACACTGGTTGCAAAAGACCTCGGTTTTTTAAAAACTGTGAATTATTGGTAAATAGTGCTAACCATCTAGTTTTAACATAAAATGCATTATTGATTACAGGCAATAGGGCTCTAAAAGATGAGTGCCCAGAAAAGCCGAAAGTCAGACGAGCCTGCGTGCCCAGTTTGTAACCCTTTGAAAATAAAGTTTGTTCGTTCGTTCCTTTCACCAATCATTAATCGAAGTATGATGGTCCGATATCACATTAAATAGCTGTAATCAGAGATGAACGATAGAGAGTGACCTGAATACGGCATCTCTGACATGAAAAATTGCACTGAAGATTACATAGGACAGGAGAGCATGGAAAGTCTTCTCTGAAGCGTCATGTGCCACTAGGCATAAAGAGAAGTGATTGAATCAGTGACGTCTTACGAAATTGGGTACAACCTGGTAACACTGAGACGACAAAAGGAGAAGAAGAAGAAGAATCAGTGCCGTCATAATGCATGGGCAAACTGGGCACAGGATCAGGGGCCCCACGTGTATATGGCCTTTTGCTGATCTGTGTATGTCAAGTAACTTGCGGTAAAGCATCCATTATATGGTTGAGAACTGTAGCAAGAAACTTTCATTGTTCGCACCGATGCTGTTAATGTGTCTTCCGTTTGCACTAAATTGCTATTCTTATGAAGACTAAGCCTGTTAATGTCGCTGCCTGTAGAAGGAACGTTGAATAAGCAAGTGAAAAGTAGGGAAAAAATTACACTGAATTGAAAAAAAAAAAAGTAACGATAAGAAAGAATGTAGAATTATATAGTTCGATAAGAGAGTAGAAGAAAAAGGCAGAAAGGTCGAAATAAAAGAAACAATCAAGCTGGACAGAAAATAAGAAAGAAAGACATAACGAAAGCAAACAATTAGTCACACACACACACACAAAAAGGATACAAATTAGGAAGAAAGAAAAATAAGAAAGGATACACGAAAGAAAGAAAGCGAGAAAAATAAATGAGAAGAAAAACAAAGAAGAAAAGACACCGAATAAATGATAAGGAGCAAATGAAAAATAATGTGAGTAAAAGATCTTTTCCCATGCCGTAAGGCATATTGGGTAGATAGGACTAGACCTCGATTTTATAGACCAAACGGCACTTGGTAAGCATCACGCCGGCAAGCTTTACGTTCCAGGATGGAACCTGGTACCCACTCAAGGCTGGGTCAATGTGGGAGCCAAGGTCATTTTTTTCAACGTTCAGTTGCTATCAAGACACGAACACATGATGTTTCGATCACGGCGGCTACCATATTTGAAAAAAAAAAAAAAGGATAAGGGAATTAATAAAAGAAAGAAAGAAAGAAATGAACACAAACATACATTAAAAAAAAAAAAAAAAGCCAAGGCAAACAAAAGGGAGCCGGTGTGGTCTAGCGGTTGGACGCTCGCCTGCGGATCGGAAAGTCGTGGGTTCGTTTCCTGACGACGCTGGATTTTTTTCGAAATTGACTTTTGCTTTCAGGTCGACCCAGCCCTGAGTGGGTACCAGGTACAGTCCTGTGAAATAAAGGCGGTTGGCGTGATGCTTATCACATCAATCACCAAATACCGTTTGGTCTATAAAAGATAGGTATAGCCCTATACACCCAATACGCCTGAAAGGCGTGGAAAATTGTAGTTTACTAAAGCAAACAAAAGCAGTATTTACAACAACAACAACAAATCAGAATTAACTAGCAAACAATATACTGACCATGAAATTGTCGGGCTGGAAGCCGATAAACTTGACGTGCGATGCTCCGGTTTTTTGTAAGAGCTGCCGGACATAATCATAGTTGTCAATATGCGTGATAGCATCGTCCAACGTAGTCATCACCAGTGTGGCGTGGTACTCCAGGGCCTCGTTTGAGCGTAGCTCATCGTCAGATCGAATGTCTTTGAACCCTTGAAACATCTTCTGAAGACTTGCATTGGTCTTGAAAAGCCTGAGGACATGAGGAAGTCGGAAATGATAAACATGAGATTTCAAGGAACATGTAAAAGATATTGAGACCGAAATGTGACAGTTACGACGTGAAATGAAGGTGAAGCTTTAGATAAAGATGATGCTTTGCATGTTTGAAACGTGTTGGAAATGTTTTGCTCAAAGATTTACGCAACAATATTAGTAACGCGACTTGTATGTCTATGTTATACCAAATAATCATTTTCGATGTCACTGCCCATTGGGAACTTGCTTAGTCACCGATACAACATCCAATCCAAGGTACATATACTGTCTGCTTCCTTCTTTCATCGATCCAATTATAACAAAACAAAACAAACAAAAAATCCACGACGTTCAACCTACTGCGAGCAGTACCGGTTATAACTACGGTTTGGTTTCTTTGTGCCAATATTGTTAGCTAGAAATGTTAATTGCTACAAAACTAGTGGCTTGGAGCCGTACCCTAGTACCTAGTGAGGACTGTTGAGCTCTTGAGGAAGAACGGTTCAAGAAGCAAGAGGTGCATTCTCCTTGACTACCAGCAGGATGAAGGTGGAGGTTTAGGCAGTGACATTAGCTTTCATGTGGCTAGAACCACAGGACTATTCTTGCGTATGTGTACTGAGGGATTCTTTGAGCTGAGTCAAAGCAAAACTCTTCTGTGTGTGCAGTTACCTTCATATTTGTCCCAGGGAATGCAGGTGTTGTCAGCAATGAAAGAGCTGACAGACTCGCAGGTACCGCAATAATTGAAGACCCCCCCCCCCCCCCTCCCTTTTCCCCATGGATGACGCAGACATTGTCAATGCTCTTAAAGAGATAGGAAGTTCCGAGAATTTTGGAAGTAACGTGTCCACATCACTGCTAAGAATACACGAATTGGGAGTAAAGATCGGCACAGCCAAGCATGAGAAGCACACCAGACGTACACAAGGTCTTGTCAACAAGCATAGGAATGACACTATTAACTGCGCGACGCTAATGAATATGTTGAGTGGAGAATCTGAAGATTTATGGAAGTGTCCGGAGTGTTTTGACTAATAACTCACTCCTCTTATATAACTGATTGTGAACTGTTATATGCACGATTTTTACATTTAGTTTATGACGCTCACTGTATTACAATAATTAATTGTTTGGAATATCCTATGAATGTTTTTCTCACTAGCGAACTTGAATGTTTTGAATATTGCTAACGACTATCTGCTTATCGACAGCCGTCGTGGTTTAGCGGGTCTGACAGCCGAGGGATCAAGTCAGGCCAGTGGTAAGTTTTTAGTGTGTGTGCATTTGTGTGCGTGTGTATGTGCGTTTATGTTTTTGTTTGTATAAAACGGACATTGGCTCTCAAGTCGACCAGGTCTCAAATGGGTACGAGGTAAAAAGTCATGGAAAGTAGAGGTGACCAGTATGAATCTGACCACGTCATCAGTAAGGTGCTGTCCAATGTGTCCAGTATGCATGAAAGCTTCGAAAAGGGTCCTTTACGTTTTTTTTTTTTAATCGCAATATTCTTTACCACTCGTACATTAATTGACATCTCCAGTCTTTCGTAGTTATTCAATATATAGGTACCTAGATAAAAAATCTTTGATGGTACATTCGTGTCCTCTATTATATCTGGCATTTTATTTTATTTTATAGGAGCAAAACCTCACAGGTAGATCATTGCGGTCTGAGGGGAATGATACTGCGAAGAGTTACAAGGAGATCTGGCCGACGATCGACACTCAGGGGAAAGGCAAGACTGATATAAAACCAGACAGTTACTGGTACCATTAGAATTTTAACTTTCGCTTGCTGCTGAAGATGAGGACGGAGCGCTTATGGGGGTGTCCCAAGTGCGGTGGTGTGGATTCCTAATTTAACATTTAAAACATAGCGAGTTAAATCTAATATGTCGATGTGATTATAAAAATCGATGAGTGCCAAGTATGTTTGTGTTTAGTTTTTAAATTTCTATCTATCTCTCTAGTTTACAGGAGTAAAATATGGCAAGACACATATTGTTGATATAAAAACAAACTCTTAAATCTGCCACTTTCACTCCCTCTTCTGTCTCCTTGCTTTTGATTCTGTTTTGTTGGAGCATTCATTATTTATTAATTGTTTTACATGTGCTATAAACACGTGTACACAAACGTATATACATACATACTATTTATGTGTGTGTATATATATATATATATATATATATATATATATATATATATGTATATATATATATATATATATATATATATATATATATATATATATATATATA